TCTCTCTTGTTCTCGCTCTCCCTCATTTTCTACCATTTTCTACTGCATATCAAGACCACAAGGGCAAGTTCCGCCACTCTGGAAACATGGAGCGAGCCCCTCCTCCGCAGCTCAGGTCTACGCCAACGCCACCTCACATTCACGACATGCATGACCATCATATGAAACGGGCCAAACTGCGGGCCAATGCAGGCAGGTCTTCACAGGGTTCTGGTGGTCCGGAGGAAGCCAGGGTCGGGGCCTTTGCGGCTTCAAATAATGTGCCCGAGCTTTCACAGAACAAACCACCCCGAATGCCTGCTCATGTGCAGGACTTACATGATCAACACATGAAACGGGCCAAGCTCAGGGCAAGGGCGTCCAGGAGTAATCCGAATGACGTCGGCCCAGAGGGTGTGAGATCGGGTGCCTTTTCGGCTTCGACTGTCTCGGATGATCCATCCAGTCATTTCGAGGACATGGTATCCCGTTACGACGACTCTTCTTCCAGCATGTCCATGTCCATTGGTGGTGGACCTATCACTGCTGCTTCGTCCAATAATCCTCAACGAGGCCTTCGGAAATCCAGAGCGGATGCCAAATCAAAACACCACGGCCCCAGAGCAACCCATGCAGGAGCGGTGCCGCATTACCAACACACACCCATGACTTTGGCGACAGCAACCCTTCAGGACAGTTTCAGCACATTGGGTGGTCACTCAGCCGGTGCTGCTGGCATGCCGGCATTACATCGAAGTGGCACCACCGATTCAGGAATACAGCGAGGACTCCGGCGTTCTCACCAAGAGCTTGAAGCAAAGCGACGTGCTCGAGGCAGTCATGTGGAGGAAGGTGCAACAAAAAATTCAACAGCGCCACCAAAGCAAGTGCCATGGTGGCTTCGGGATCCGGCAGATCCACTGGGAGCTAACTCTGGAAACATGCGGCAAAGTTCTGACGAAGGCAATGCCGTGCTTGTTGGGTCTCGCGATCCATCAGATTCGTCACTTCTCGAACGTGGATATAGTGGCAATCAGCCCATGCTCTCCAACCCGGCTCCAATTGATAATTCTGGTCTGGTGGTTGCCAATCCAGTGGCCGAAGATGACGAGGCTTATAACTTCGAGAATGCTCATCAGATTGATCTGGAAGAGCTCGAATTGGAAGAAGCTAGGAGAGAGAAAATGAAGAGAGAGAGTTGCCAAAAGCTCGCATGCATGTTCTGCTGTATCACACTTTTCATCATAGTCATCACCTTGATCATCTTGAGTGCAACTGGTTCGTTTTCGAAGGATCCTCCTGAGATTATAGAAGCCACCCCTCCACCATTCAAGAATGCAACACGGCCTCCGACCCCTTCACCCACCCAGGCCCCAACACAGTATTCGGTTGTCCTTCGAGCGGAACTGAATCTGCCAAATGCAACACTTGACAAAATTGACGCCAACAGTGCTTCAGCACAGTACAGTGCTTTTGATTGGCTAGAATCGAATCGAGGGTTGTATGATGGTCTGCTGCCGTGGCAGAAGCAGCAGCTCTTTGCTCTGTTAACCTTTTACTTTGATTTTTCTGGTCCAAAGTGGCCCAAAGTAGTGGGAAAAACTTGGCTGGAGGAGAAGGACGTGTGTAGGTGGTACTCGGCAGAATATGGTAAGTTGCTTGTTTGGAGACTACAAGGTGTGCACCATATATTGTGAAAGTGGATGGGTTGTTCACTGATTGATGTATTTGCGTGCTATTTTGCTGCCAGGGGCGTTTGATGAGGACGGGGGCTTCCTTGAGTTTGCAAAGTTGAATACAAATATCCAGCAGGCAACTGCCAGGAACTCTTGCACTTTTGATGGCCAATTTCAAGCTTTGGTAATGGCCCAATTGCCTCTTGAGGAGGAAGTCCCGCAGATTCCAGCCGAAATCTCTCTGTTGACACACTTGTCAGCATTGTCATTGCCTCACAATAAAGTCAACCGTTCGTTGGTCGATCTGCTGCCCCCTGAGATCTATGAGATGGAGAAATTGGATTACATCAACTTTTGGAACAATTTCCTGTCGGGTCCATTGCCTTCAGGGTTTGGGTCATTGACAAAGCTGGATACCATTGGGCTGCGTGACAACCAACTCACGGGCTCCATTCCTGCTAGCTGGAGCAAATTGACGGACATGACGGATCTGGATGTGGCAAACAATAGGTTGACAGATTCCTTGCCACGTTTCTTTTCAACTCTGGGTTCAATGACCAAATTGACAAGCCTGAATGCCTTCTCGAACTCGTTCGAAGGGCCACTACCACCGGAAATTGGCCTTCTTACTTCCCTTGAAAATCTGGATTTGCGGAGGACTGCTGGTCTGAATGGCACAATCCCATCCGAAATAGGCCTTCTTACTTCCCTTGGACGTCTCAATTTATACAGAAATGCTGGTCTGTATGGCACAATCCCAACAGAGATCGGACTTCTTACAAGCCTTACTTTTCTGGATCTGTCTCGCTGCAGTTTCACTGGTGAAATTCCAAGTGAAATTGGTTTGCTTACAGGCCTGGAAAGGCTCTATTTTACGCATACTAAATTTTCTGGTACGGTCCCACGAGAGATCTTCCTGCTCACCAATCTTAAGAGATTCTACTTCAACACCAACCCGAACCTGACTGGCTCTATACCCACTGAAATTGGGTTGCAAACTGCACTTGAGAAAGTCCAGATGTACGACTGTGCTCTAGGTGGAACAGTCCCTACTGAGATTGGCCATCTTATGGCTTTGCAGCATTTCTGGATAGGAGACAACCCCTCCATCAATGGCAGAATTCCTAGCGAGCTGTGGTCACTACCAGCCTTGACCAGTCTTGGGCTGGAAAGGAACAGCTTCACCGGCCCAGTTCCCTCTGAAATTGGCATGCTCCAGGCCTTGACGAACCAGACAGCCACAGCTGCAGACAGTGGGGTGAACATTGGAGGCAATGCATTGAGTGGCTCAATTCCCAAGGAAATTGGACAACTTGTTGGCTTGCAGTATCTCTTCCTTGGTGGGAATACTGGGGTATCTGGCGGAGGTTTACCATCAGAGTTTGGCATGCTCACATCACTGGTTAAACTTGTTGTTTCTGGGAGCTCTCTTCGTGGCAGTCTCCCGTCTGAACTGGTATTACTAACTGGCCTGACAGCGCTTGAACTTTCAGAATGCGCACTCACTGGCGATATACCAAGTGAGATTGCATTGATGGCTGGTGTTAAAACACTTGACCTGTCAGCAAATGCTCTCGTTGGAAGCATTCCCAGCGAGATTGGATTGATGGAAAACCTTGTGGGGCTGATGCTCCACAACAATTCTCTTTCGGGAAGTATCCCCAAAAACCTGGTAGGAGAAGATGCCCGTCTATCACTGGAGAATAATCCTCAGTTGTCTGGGGTTGTCCCCGAAACAGTTTGTGCCTTGGGACAGTACAACAGCACTGGAGATGATAAAACGGGGTTGTCATTTGATTGTGTTGCAGGTGCTTTGTGTGGTTGTGAATGGTGTCGTTGCGATAGTTTGTTTTGAATATTATATGATTGCATCTTTAGAGGTGATTAAGAGAAATACTAAATAGATACGTTAAGGAGCGAGGGGGGCGAAGCGAGGCAAAGCAGTGGCTGCGGTGGTGGGCGTACGGGGAGAGCAATGAGGTGATTTGATATGTACTAGTATTGTAGTGCCATATCTGTGCTAGCACTTTTGGTCTTCCGTTCCTGACGCAGACGAAGCGCAGTCGACATCCACATCCGGCCAAACAGCACGGGCACAGACCCAATGGATGTCAACTCTTCTATCACTACGCTGTAACAATATTATTCTCACAACCCAATTTCCATGAAGAGCAGCAGCAAGTTTCAATGCTAGCCGACAGCAGAGAAGATGCTCATGGATTCGACTGACTCATCCATGCAAGCTAGCGAGCACACAATTCTCCACACACCTTAAACGACGAGTGTTGAGCAGCACCAGCACCAAACAAATAGCTAGACTGAGTTGAACTGCAAACTCACTGTGAGCTCTTGCCCCATTCTTCACCGACTCCTACTGGCCCAAAAGCTAGCTGACATTCTCGACATCTTCTTCTCTTTCCCATGGAGCTTTTCCAACAACGAGGCACGTCAGCCAATGAAGCAACAGTCCAGGAGGACCAATCAGATTAGTCAGTAGAACAGAATGTGAAGTGAAAATGTTGCGTTTCAATCCATCCAACCAGATAAATCTCCCCACCAGCAGATCCCATGTCAAGACGTGACTCCATTCCTCCGCCACAAAATTTGGGTAATTTGACACCATTTTGATGAAAGCATTTTGTGGATCTCCTGCGGGATCAAAGACGTCGTTGAATTCGGCCAACGGGGCAGTTGCCTCGGATCCACCCATGACTATGGAACCAGAGACGATAAAGAAATGGACCAAACAGAATAGCAGTACAATTTCTGATCAATAGCAAAATGTGAATTGTGTCACGAGCAGCAAGACAAAATCGTTGTTGGGCGGGTGGATGGATGAAATTGCCGTTGTGTATTCGAAGGAAGTATGAGATTTGTGGCTACCTGATGGGTCGGGCAACACCTCTTTACGTACCAAATCCGCCCATGATCTTCTTGGTAACATCAGATTTCGGCAACAGAATGATCAGTAACCAAAAGGGCTTGGAGAGACGGAAAGTCAGGTTTTTGAATGAGAGGGGTGGGAGGGTTTTCAGCATGGATAGTACAAAGGCGCGGGCCGTTCAAGCAGAATCCACTGTCGGCTCAATTTCTTACCTGAGGGCCAAACGTAGCAACGTTGAAAACAGTGTGGATTGGTTCAGGCGATACAGTGTATGCTAAAGCAGTCGATGACGGCGACGTGGCTCCCGTATTGAGTTTTGCAGCAGATGGTGCTGGCGGTCCTAACTCATTGGATATTCCTCTACCGGTACGACCCACCAATGTCGGCTGGAAGGCTTCGGAACACATTGCCAGTATCAGCAGAGCCAACGAAACAGTTCGTACATAGATCATCGTATCATCTAGTTTTTAAAGGAACAACAACAACAACAACAACCACAACCAAGGTTTGGATCCAACAAAAAATGAAGTGCCATCACATCATCCCCTGGATTTGGGGCATCGGCCGATCTGTCATTTGCTGCGACTGCCGACTGACGTCAGTTTCACCACAGTCGAGTCGAGTCGAATCGAATCGAATCGAATCTTCAATCCTTCCAATCGATGTTTGTCGAGAGAAGGAGTGTGCCAGTCCCGTTGCAGGGACCAAACGTGCACATAAGTCGTGGTGGGAACCTTCCGGGAACAGCATCCTCACACTCTCCTCATAAAACAAACCCAAAGGGCAGGAACGACAAACTCAAAAACACAAACAACACCATCATGTCCCCGAAAATTGAATCTCCACGTGTGTCTGCTGCTGCTGATGCGTCGCAGGGTAGACGAGACGACTTCCACTTCGAAGAAGAGGAATATTGGTTTGACGGTGATTACGACTACGACGACTATGCCGAATATGATGATTTCCAAGCATGCCAAAGAGGCGGAGGCGGTGGATCCAAAGTGAGCCAAAAGAATGCGAAGCGCCAGACCCAAAGAGGAGGAGGCGGAGGCGCCGGGACCATATATTCCTCTAAACATATCCGCGCCAAGGAGAATCTGCGGACCACAGCGCCGAAACGAAATAAATGAGCGCTCGCAGGAAAACGGGTGATGGGGTGCGTCAGGGAAATTTCATTTCGAACATCTGACCTCCAAGATGGTTTTAAAGGTTTTAAAGGCAGCCCCGTGTAGCTGAACGCGGACGCGCATTGCTGACCCGAGAAAACCTCGATCGACGAGGTCCGGTCCCAAGACGCCACCACACCACCGAAAAGAGCACCAATGGCAACAACAACACATGGTCTACGCCATCCTGTAAACCGAGATGGTCTATACCATCCTTTAGTAACTACATTATACATGATGGTCTATACCATCCTTTAGTAACTACATGATAATGTATCATAGGTTTACCTGTAATCCGAGTTGTCTGCGTGGGAGCTGACTGTTGCATCCAACTGACAGCTCTTGCTGGCTTTTTCGCACAGAAGCGGGGCCGAAGCCGGATACACCTCCTTTTGGAGTCGAGTCGCACCAAATGGGGACTCCAAAAAGAGGAAGGCTTACAGCAATGTCTATGGCATTTTAAGGGCACTGACTACAGGAGGTGACTAAACGCGCGCTTAAAGATTGTTTAAGACTGGTATTTAATCGTGTGTTTAGTCGAAAAGCTTTAAGATCGTCAGTGTCTACCGGGAGTATCGGGAAATGGCGCAACTTGCATTTTTGCTGACTAAATTGACTAAACCTGAATCAAAAACAGTTCAAAAACGTCCAACCTCTTTGGTTTTGGAAAATTTATAAAAGATGATTTTGACAGTTTGAATTGACATAGTATGACTGAGTCAATTCGTCAATTCATCAATTATCAACAATTGATCAATTTGTCAACGTTGATCAACTGATCAACCTTGACTCAACGTTGATCAATTTTGATCAATTTTGACTTTGATTGAGTCATTGATCTGTTGACAGCCTTCCGTCAAAACGTCAACAATCTGTCAACGATCTGTCAACGATCTGTCAACAGACCGTCAACAAAGGGTCAACAAACAGTCAAGTCAAACAGTCAAGTCAACCCGCCGAAATGACTCGTCACTCGTCAATTTTGGGACAATAACAGAGGGTTGCTACCTAGAGCCTTTGCTAAGCTTTCTAAAGGATCTGGTTGTAGGGTAAAGAAACCGGAACGGTACGGGTACAGTACTGCCAACGAACTTAATTAACCTGCAACGAACTGGCAACGAGCTGTCCGGAGAGGGATTCGATTTAAAGGTCACAACACATCAACAACAACCCATCAGCATCTTCCTCTTTTC